TGCGTAAAGTGTGCACTTTGCAGGACGAAAATTATGGCAAAAGATGCAATAGCTCTAATTGATCATCTGGGTTGGGAAAAAGCTCATGTATTTGGTCATTCAATGGGTGAGTAAGCGACTTTAATTTAGTTTGTGTTGTCGATTCGAATCAATCACCTGAAAGTTTTATTTTGTCCCCTGATATTGAACTTGAGAAATGTCATGAATACTTATGTAGGACTCGGTCAAGTACGGTTTGAGCTTGTTTTGTTCTTCAATCTGCGAAGTCATTTATTGACACTGCAATCCATGTTTTTTAGTAACAATTCTTTTCTGAAATTTTAGTTCTAACGCAAGCATATATGAGTCAAGTTCGTTCGGTCGTGTCAGGCTGTCTGATTTTTATTTTTTTTTCATTTATTTAAATAATGCAGGTGGTATGATTGCTTGTAAGTTTGCTGCCATGGTGCCTGAAAGAGTTTTGTCTCTGGCTTTGTTGAATGTCACTGGTGGAGGTTATGAATGCATACCAAAGGTATGCAGTCATGTAAGGCCATTTGGCTGATCCTATAATTCATGTATAAACTTGCTTGAAGATAGATAAAGGAGATGTTCCAATAAATGGTGCTGTTATTCCTGAAGGCTGACTGCAAAAAGGAGATGTTTCAATAAATGGTGCTGTTATTCCTGACTGAATTCTGCAGAATGTTGGATTTTACAATACTTATACAACAACAACTACAATTTTGTTACATATACGATCATTTGGCAAAACTTTGTGTGGAATATTCTTAAAGTAGTCATGAACTCGTGCAACAACAAGGAGCAAAGTTTTTATTTTATTATTATTATTATTTTGGGTCTGAGCACATGGCTTGGCAATGGTTGCTAAATTTATTTTGCAAGCTTTGGGCTGTGTGGGAACTATGGTATTTTCTATAAGTATAAATTCTGTGATTTAATCTTTTCTTTTTTATATGTATTCATTTCAGTTAGATCGTCAAACTCTGTCAATTGCAATGCGGTTTCTGAAGGCTCGAACTCCTGAGCAGAGGGCGGCTATTGATTTAGATACCCATTACTCACAGGTAAATTTCAATTTTTCTTTTTTTCGAGACAATTGACTTAATTAGGAAGGTTATTAATTTATTATTCATTGGGAATGAGAGAATCGGTTGATTTTTTATTTTTTTATTTTTTTTTATATGCATTTGTCATGCAGGAATATCTTGAAGAGTTGGTTGGACAAAAAACGAGAAGATCAATCTTATATCAAGTATGCAAAGACGAATGCCAAATCTTAAATTTGAACTATTCACTTTATAACTTCTTGTCCCTTGAAGTTGATTTATACTCATTGGTGGTAAAAAAAAAATGGAAAACAGAAAATAGTGCTTGAAATTTTCACCATTCGTGCAATATTATCTCATTTCCTGAACATGAAGTGTAATCGTTCGTAGGGTGTGTTTTCTTTTATTTTTTCCTTTATTACAATCTAAATACCAGCATTACTGTGATTTAAACTATGCAAATGTATAACTAATTCGGTTAGTTTTGCGCAGGAATACGTAAAAGGAATTTCGTCAACTGGCATGCAATCGAGTTATGGATTTGACGGTCAGATCAACGCCTGCTGGACCCATAAAATGTCACATACAGAACTTGAGTCTATTCGTGTGGCTGGATTTCCTGTATCAGTAATTCATGGCAGGTGGCTCCAGCATAAAAAAAAAAGCTATAATTTTTTTTTCCTATTTTCACATCACATCAGCTATGCTATGACTGTGTTTGGTAAAAGTAGCTGATAAGTTATCTGATAGCTTGCTTATAAGTGAATTTCAAACTTATATATAATAGCTTATGGCTTATGATTGAAAAACTAGCTGATATGATAAAAGTATTTGGTAAATTAGTTGATAAGCCAGCTGAAATATCAACGGGCTTATTTGAAAAGCTACCCAAAGAAGCTTATAAGATAAGCCCGAGCTTCTTAGAAAAGTTCGTCCTACCAAACCAAGCTTATTTGTATACAGATAACTTATAAACTAACCAAATAGCTATAAGCTAGCTTAACACACTCTATATATACTAAATGACCTTTTTTTTTTTTTCTTTTTATGCTTGTGTGGTTGTGTAGGCATGATGTCATTGCTCAGATGTGCCATGCAAAGCAACTTGCAGAGAAATTGTATCCTTGTGCAAGAATGGTTGAGCTTAATGGTGGCCATCTTGTGAGCCATGAGAGAACTGAAGAGGTACATGAAGTCTATTTGAATAGCAAATTTTGGAAGTTTGATCTTACATTCTATACATGGCATATTGGAGCTAATTATAATAGCTGACATTGTGTTATATTTTGACAATTCCATCACCCAATTCTCTTATAGTAGAGACAACCAAGAAAAAATGTTGGACCTGTTTAATATATCAAAAAGCGGAGGGGCATAGTTGTGAATACATGATGAACATCATCAAATTTCTGCTAGTTGTTTGGCGTAAGGAGGAGCAGTAATGTAGATTGGTTTTCATAATTTTCAAACTTAGCTGGCTGTGTAGGTTTAATACCAGAAACCTAAGGGATAGTTTTCATAATAATTACTCCCTATATTATAAGTTGGCTTCACAACAAATTTATCAGTTCTCTTTCGAATCACAATTAAGAGGAATAGATGTAATATGTGAAACCATTTTTAATCCTGAATGCTTGCATTGTGTAATAATCCTTTAAAACCTCAGGTCAATCGAGCTCTTATTGAGTTGATCAAGGCATCACAAAGTATGGTGAAACTACACGACTGGACGAATTTGTCCAATAAAAGCAATGGTGAGTTGATCAATGCATCAAAAAGTATGGTAAAACTACTTTTACACATAGTTTTCCTATGATAGACTAAAACTCCGGATTTACCTGGTGTAGGATATCATATTGTTCGAGACAATTTACTAGAAGTGCTTCTTCTTCTCTCTCTTTTTTTTTTTAATTTTATTTTACTTTTTATTTTGCAGGGTCTAAATCTACTCGGATATCATTGTGGAAAGCAGTCAGTTCATCTTTTATCGTTGAGAGTGTACAGAAGCTACATATTTTCTTAGTTTACCTTTTTGGTCTTTTTGTATTCGCATTCGAGCACTTAAGAAGATGCGTGAGGAGGCTTAATCCCGTCAGAGTTGGCTCGGCTCTTTCTTAAGCTAACATAGGTACAGTAATACCTTTTCTCTGCTCGTAAATCCTCTTATTGCTCAAGTTTTACAACATCTATTTTCAATAACTATTCATGATCTAACCTAATTACTAAAGCAGCCATTCATCTTTCCTAGTTATATAAACCTTTCTACTTGTGCGTTTTTTTAACAAATTGCACCTGAGGAAAATCCGAAGAGGGTTATCTGCAATCACGAAATATAACTCTGAGTTTTATTTTGTATAAAATTATAACTCATCAGCTTATCTGCTTATGCCATGAAAGTCTGAAGCATTTGGTTTTTCGTCTGTGTGCAGGGATTATTTTTTTTTCCCCCTTCGCTATCACATAATCGATCGTTTGATGTTCTTGGAACCAAATAAGTTGCTGCACAAAATATGTTTGGTCTTGGAGAAAACAGATATTTGTGTATAAAAAGTAAAAAGACAGAGTTTGAAATGAGGACAATGAGAATGTTTTGTACAGCAAAAGCAGTCCTGTTGTTGTGCACTGAATATTTTGAATTCATAAAATTATTAAGTACATTCCCTCTTGATATTGAAGGGGGGACTTTTGATTAATTTATTAACTAATCCATTTTCTTTTTGTCTATCTGCAGCCTGTAAAGGGAGAGTTTATTACAAACTATCTCATTTTGGTCATAAGCATCTTTGTACATTAAAAGTAATATAAATAAACTCGACATATATTGACAGATTAATTAAAAAAAAAAAGAAGAGAACAGAAAAACTAAAGAGAATATGCTTACCTTGGAACCTACAAACCAAATTCAGACTGCAAATAGTTTACTGAGGTCCACACTCCACATGCTGCCATGTCGAGAGGCCGGTTGAGGCGCCGGTGCCGGCCGGATGTGCTGCCGGACAATAAGTATAGGTATAACTGTATGTGGCATTTGTGAGAGGGAGAGAGAAATGAGTGAGCCAAATATTTTCTGGGTCAATAATGCAAATATATATAGTAGCTGGGCCAATGGAGTAATATACCAGAAGAATATTCTAATATGCTTTGTTTGTTTCACCAAACACAATTTCAGGAAACGAGAATACTGACACGAAAATATATATATATATATGTATAAATAATTAAAAAATACAATCATAGAGATAAATGGTTCAGTAAATAAAATGGGGAACGATCCAAAACACGATAAAGGAAGGCCTGGAATAGCAATTTTGGTTAAATTCTTGTTCATATTATTGTTAATAAAATAAAATAAATAACGTGAAAACAAACACGAGGGTCAAACACAAAAACAATAAGAAAATTTTAAGATTATTTAATTCATTAAGAAAATGATTAGTTAAAAATGATTAGCACCTTAAGAAAATCCTTTGTTAAAAATGTAGCACCTTAAGAAAATCCTTACTCCATTA